TTGCGATAATCATCCCGGGTACAGCTTCCTCATTAGACTGTGCAACTGATGTTAAGTTAAGCATGTGCATTTGAGAGATGGTTCCAAGGGGATCTGTCATGACGAGGTATATGTGTAATTATCCAGGGCTCTTTCATAATGGAAGAAAAAGAGAAAGAAAAGACCACACAATAATCTCCTGGAGGCTGACACATGATTGTCAGCAGCTACAGCATCTTTCTTCCTGTTCCCTCCAGTCCATTTTTAACGATGCAAGATAAATCACTCCTTGAAGAGAAGCCTTTCTGGCCAAACAGTCCTTATAAGATACTTAAAAACAAGTGCAATCAGCAGTGTGGGGTGGACAATTTGGTTTCTTTCTATCTTGCTTTATAGTTGGGTGCATGCACCCAAGTAGAATGCCAGATGAATTCAAACTTTGCATGTGTGTTGCTACAGACGGTGTTTAAAAGGATCAGCATGGATTGCGAAGACCAGCCAAATTCTCCAATGGGAGATCACTGGTGAAATGGTTTTTCATTTCCTGTTCTGAAGAAGATGGAAGAGTTCATTATTCAGGTGATTTCCAAGTGCATTGTGAAAGGATTTTAATCACTTCATGTTGGAATGGATCATCTGCCTCTCAAATTATGTAACTATGTAGTAGAAAATACTAGGATACCTTTACCCTGGTCAAATGTCTAAGGATAGGAACGAGTTTTGGTGCAAAACGAAGTTCTTCCATCACTAGTAAGATATTTACAAAAGAATAGCCTTCCTTTAATACAATAACGTCTAATAATTTTGCATTCACACAATATTACAGAGTCATTTACATTCAACCAACCCTGTTTTAAGGTTCTTCCATCCATTTATCTTTTTGTTAAACTGCTCACTCTAATGGTGTTGGCTTTATATAGAGGCTATGGGGAAAGATTCTTGAAACTCAGGATAGTGGCCAAATCCAGACTGCCTGGAGTCCAATCCATCCTGCTGGGGATTTCCAGGAGGCCTTACCCTTTCCCTCACATCTCCAGATGGTCCTAGGTTACCTTAACCATCATTTGTTTAGTGGTTTCCAGGCTTCTGTACAATCCCCCTGCCAAAGGTTGAAATGCCTCTCCAAAGGCTGAGTTACTACCAGTAAGAGCAGTCAGTTAAAACTATGCTGGCATTTCTTGTAAACTAGGCCCCTCTCCTTTGCACTGGGCCCACACCTCACTCCCAGAGAGTTGCTATGAAACAGAATGTGATTCAACACCACTAGTATAAGGTCTAAGTGCATGGCTTGGTTTTTCCTTCACATGGTTCTTATAATGATCAGGCAGTTAGACTTGAAGTCTACAGCTCCAACAGACAGACCTGGATTCTCTCAGAGGAAGGTGAGAATGCTGGCTTCATCTTCTTGCCATCCCCTCTCCCACTTGGGTTAGCCTCTCCTACCAGCTTCCTTACTATCTTGTCAGTCCTTTTTCTGCTGGCTGAATTGAGAATTGAATTCCAGACTCCAGTCCCCTGACGTCTGTCTGTCTGATTGCAAAGGTCTGACTCTTGGGTGACAGCCCAGCAGGTCTATATCTGCAGGCCCAAGGCAGCAATGCCCCAGTGGGGGCAACCTCAAAGAGGGCAACATCAAAGGGGACACTCCCAAAATGGGTTGCCCCTCTGAGAAGAGCTGCTTGAGGAGGACGCAAGGGCAAGGGCTACCCCCTAACATTGCAACTGTGTCTATTGTTTGCTTTTAGGACTCTGGGGGAAGGAGTGGGGGTGATCCTTCTTCAGAGACCTGTTGAACTCTAACTGGGGGAGGTGATGGGATCAAATAATGAGTGGGGGGGGGGGGGAACATGTCCCAGGCAGTTAATGACTGTGCTGCTTTCAAGTACTCCTTGCAATGCAAATTTGGCCAAATTTAACCTGTCCTTTGGTATCCATGTGCTTGGAGCAGTGCACATCAGGGCCTCCCTCATTTATGGCTTAAAAATGGATGAGGCAACCAATCTGGCATGTATAACCAAGGTCTGGGTATACAGGGAGGTGTGAGCTTTCCCAGCTCTGCCCACCAGCATCACAGGAGACTGGAGGGCCAGAAAAGTGGTCTACAGAAATTCTATCTCTCCGTCTCCAGGCTCCTTTTCCATCTGACTCCTACTCTAGGGTGTTTCTATCTTGTGCTGGGCCAGTGAGACTGACTGGGGGTTCTGCTGATGTACCATCTACCTTGCAACCCAACGGTCTCACTACCTCAGCTGACAGAGGTTGTCCCAGTTACAATGTTGAGGTCCCACAGAGCGCTGGTCCTATTTGAGAAGGCTCAGGATCTCACGGAGTCCATGAACCATAAACCACCAGACTGTCCCAATGTATCGTGTCTCAGAGCACGATCTGGTCTTTGTTTTTTCAGCTACACATAGGGATAATGAACTGAAGGTGGAGAATCTTGCCACAGTCAGATCACTGCCTGCTGGGATTTAGACTAACAGTCGCTTTTCCCCTCTGAAGGAATAGAACCACCTCAGGAGTTTCCAGAAAGTTCTTGGGAGGTTTCCAGGTGATATGGCTGTGGTTCCACTGAATCCCCAGTCAGTTTCTGGAATACAGAGATGGCCTGACCAGTTGCCACAATTGAGCTTTAGTGTCTTCCCTGTAGTAGAACTCATTAAGGCTCAGTGGTATACCCCAGAAGGGAGAGCAAGGAAACAAAATGGGAGATGGATTAATTGCAGAGGGAAGAAACCCTACTATATATCTACAGTCAAGTACATTTGGAGGCAGTGAGAATGGCAAAGAAACAATATCTCACTGCCTCCATTCAGTCCTGTTTTCACTGCCCAGTGGAGCTATCCAGGGTTCTTGGGGGCTCATGACATGCAGGCCCCATAGATATCTTAAGAGACATCTGAGGACCACTGCAATGTATCTGCTAGACTCTTCCAGGATAAAATATCCTGCATCTGTTGATATTTATACTCCAATCTTATTGCAGTTGAATCGGGCAAGACAGCCAGAGCACGGCCTAGTCAAGTTTTATTGGATGAGTTCCAGTTAGTACGGTGCAAGGATGCTAACAATGTGCAACCACATCCATACTGGATCCTTGTCCCTCTTGGCTAATAAAAGCTAGCAGAGGGTAACAGCCATGTAGGCCAGAAAGGCAATTAATGCCTCTTCACAAGAGGGAGTGGTTACATGCCACCCAAAACATGTGATGAGGCCATTCCTGAAAAAATTACTGAGATCTTCTGCATCAACAGCGATTTTAGGCTGGTGGCAAATATCTCTTCCTATGCAAGAGTCTTAAGCGGGTTGCGGCTAACCAAACTAAGGCACTCTTGGATGGGACTGATTAGTTGGCAGAGTGTGACCTCACGGTGCACCGGGATCTCTCAGAAGCTTTCAGTACCATCAACCATCTGGACTAGCTGGCTGAGCAGGGAATTGGGGGTACTGGATTATATTGGCTCCACTCCGACCTGGATGGACAGCTCCAGAAGGTGGGGTCTGGGGAATATTGCTTGGCTCATTGGACTCTCCAGTATAGGGTTTGTTTTGTTTCCATGCTATTTAGTATCTACATGAAACTTTTGAATGGGGCCATCTGGAGATTTGGAGTGTGCTGTCACTGTTGACATGCAGCTCTATTTCTTTTTTCCATTTTCAGCAAGTGACGTTGAGGTCTAACAAACTGAAGTTCAGCCCAGGCAACACCGAAATGCTGTTAGTGGGTGGGTCCTCTGACCTTATGGAGGGTGTTCAACCTGCTCGGGATGGGGTCACACTTCCCTTGAAGAAGCAGGTTTGTAGTTTAGAGCTATTCCTCAAGTCCTCTTTGTCACTTGAGGACCAGGTGTTTTCAGTGGCATGGAGGCTTCCACTAGTTTTGTCTGGTGATCCAGCTATACCCCTATTTGGGCAGGGATAGCCTGGTTTCAGTAATCCCCGGTCTGGCAATCCCTAACTAGATTATGCAGTGAGCTGGGGTTTTCCTCCCTTCTCACATTCAAGGCAACAGACCATTCCTATGCAAAAGCTCTTTATTCACCAGAGAATACTCAGTAAACTCAATCACCACAGAATGTATCTCTGAGCATGTTCAGAGCAGTTCCCTGAACCTCCTCTAAATGAATACTTCTGGAAACCCTCCTTTTGAGTATGTCTGGGCCCAATCCCTCCGAGAGGGCCTATATGGAAGCAAGCACACCTTTTCTCTGTACATCGACCCTCTAGTGAGCTAACTCTCCTCTCCCAATGCCACATCAAGAGTTGTACCAGCCTTACCAAATACCATGCCCCCACCCAACAACTGCACATCTTGGTTATTCTCAGAGCCTGCCTGAGCACTTGGGGAAGATGGCCTTGAGATAAACACCTCCACTTCTCTCATTTCACTGTCTGGAGCTCCACTTTCTCAGGTCTCCTCCACCTCCTCCTTTTTATTCTCTGACTCAGTCCAGAGGTGTGCTGACCCAGGAGTGCACACCAAGAACAACCACCACTCTTATTCCCAACAGATTACTGCAATGTACTCTACATGCGGTTGCTTCTGAAGAAGAATCGGAAGCTAATGCAAAATGTGGAAGCCAGACTAATAACAGGGACCAGAAGGTCTGAAAGCAAAACACCAATTCTGTTCCAACTGTAATACCTTTGGGGTGCCAGGTTAAGACTGTCCTTCATGATAGAACATTTAATTGGCTTTAATATTATATGGCCCTTATATGTTAGCTGCTTAAAGGTCATGTGATTTGATTTAAGTTACTGTAGCTTTTAAATTTGGCTTTTAAATATTACACTGACAATTTTATGATTTTATAGTTATTTGTACATTCCTATGGCTATTGGGTGGTATAGAAATACAACTTTTATTAGCATCATCATCATCAACATCATCATCATCATCATCATCATCAATAAGAACAGTAATACAAGTTCTAGTTCTAGGCCTATTATTTTTTAAAGAATGCCCAAGAAATCTGAGTATCAAGATAACAAAGTCAGTGCAGGAAGAAGGACTAACTCACAGTAGCAATGCCGGTTTTCTGGTTGTGACCCACACCACCATCCACTGCCCGCACAATGAGTATATATTCTGATTTAGCTTCTCGGTCCAGCAGAGATGTTGTGGTGATTTCCCCTGCAAAAGGTAAGAAAGGAAAGCAAAAAGAGAAAGAAGGGCCTGTGTTTTCGGTTCAATGGCATCTAAGAGGTACACGTCTCTAAGTAATAACGGACAACAACAACAACGCCATAATTACCAAAACTACTAGCAGAGCTTCAGCGATGATACAGAATTTTCACGAATATTCTAATCACTAATGAAGGAAATGTTCACAAGAAAATGCTGAAACGGCATTGTAATTCAAAGGGAAGTAGAAACTCAGTTGACTTGAAGGAGGAGGGAAGCCTTATGCAGGTCCAACAAAAAGGAGGATATGCTGTTAGTAGAAAACAGGGGACGTAGGCAGGGTGGCTGAGACCCAAGAAGATGAGTAGAAAGAGTTCCCAGTTAAGTTTGCACATTGCTAACAAGATACACACAGCACATTGCTAGTTGGCTGCCTTATATTGGTATCAATCATGCATGTTGTGCTTTTAACTCCCCTGCAACACTTCAAATAGACAAACTTACAACAACACACAGGAAATTGTGACAGTGAATAAAAGAGTTGCCTGCCTCTGGCCTTTATCTCTTACTTCCGTAATCACTCTCTGATGCTGAACTGCCCTCCTTCCCTTTACTGTAGCAATGAAATAGAAGGCACCAACATGGCCTGGACACACAGCAGGCTAACCTACTAGCACACAGCAAGCTCTAATCCATGGCATTCCTCTTGCACACAATTCCAACATTCAATCTATAAAATCTAGCCTGCACTCCAATTTACATGTCAGACACAACTCACTTGAAATATAAGGAGCTACCCACAACAGATATGGGGGAGGGGGTTAAAAATTAATCTAGAACACAAAACTGCAAGAAGTCAAAGGGTTCACTTAAATACATTTGCCTCCCAAGTCCCTGTGATAGCCATTAATCTGTAGGCTGTAAAAATTAATCAGTGGGGGATTTTTTTTTTAAAATATAAGCATGTCTCAGTGATGGATTGCTCCACTTTGCCCACAAAGTTACATCCAATTAGGCGCACCTTCGCAGAGCAAGTTCAGCTAATTAAAGCGAGGACACTCCGACAAAGTTCTGCCTCCTTCGAGAGACAGAACAGAAAACACATGTTTCCCCCTTTCTCCTCCCTTTTATGTGTTTGGTATCCTCTCTTCCTAAAGGACAGCTCAGCAACAAGAGTCATCATCATGCTCGGATGTGCTCTCATGTGAAAAATCCTGCTCGGCTTTTACAAAACTACTTGTAAAGGTCACAAAAGTGGGGAAATGGTCCTGAATGGAACATAGATGGATGACAAGGTTGACTTAGCTCTATGATCTTGGATCAAAACATTGCCCTCTGATAATCTGGAATAGTAATAACAACAACAATAGTAATAATAATAATAATAATTTGGCACAGGTTAGAATCATAAGCAATTAACCATTTGATTTACATTTTGTACATAACATTGCTCAAGTATGATCTAAGTTAAACATGTGTTTTTGACTGAATCGGAGACAGAAGCAGCCAAAGTAACGTCTGGTCCTGCTGTTATGGACAGTTTTCAGCTCTTGCATCCTGAGGATGTTGAGAAGCTGCTTGGAGGGATGAGACCTGCCCCTTGGATCCTTGCCCTTCCTGGTTTTTGGAATTGGTCAAAACTGGGCTTTCTGTCTGAGTATTAGCTATGGTGAATGTCTTTTGAAAAAGTCAAATTTAGGTGCCATGGCTTTGGAAAACTATCACCCAGTTTCCTGCTTAGGATTTCAAGACAAGGTCTTAGAGAAGGGAGTGTCCTCTTAGCTCCAGGCCATTTTTGATGACACTCATTATTTAGAGCCATCCGATCCGGCTGGCTGCCTGGGTTCAGAATAGAAATTGCCTTGATCTCCTTGGCAGCTGACCTGCTATGGGGAATGGAGGGGCAGAAGCCATCCCTGATAGTTCTCCTAGACTGTCTCTTAGATGGGAATGGGGAACACTCTAATAAAGTGACTCCAGTCTCTGTGGTGGGTAGAATCTTGAAGATGGTACTGGGAAACTGGCGTCCTTTGGAGTGCCACAAGGGTCCCTCTTGTCCCGTGTGCTTTTCAGCATCTACACGAAAAAAGAAATTTGAACTAAGGTGCCATCAATATTCAAATGACACTCTGCCCTACTTCTTTATCCATTTTCTAATTCCAGCAAGATGGTAAAAATGCTGAACAGATGTTTGGAAGCAGTTTTGATTATGGTGCATGGTAATTATGACATTCTGATTTTGTTTTTCTTTTTGTATTAGAGCAGTCATAATTCTGGCATTCAGAGAATGTTGTTTCCTTTGTTTATAGACACTATAATAGAAAAGGGGGAATTGAACAAGGTAATGTATATAACATCTGCAAGGGAAGAGGACAAGTAACATGAAATGAAAAATATTATCATGGTTGTGCTTACCTGAGCGAGCATTAATCCGGAAGTGTGAAGACCCTTCCAAGGAGTAGATAATAGATTCCTGGCCATATTCTCTTGACCGGTCCAAATCAGTGGCATTTAGAAATAGCACTGTTGCTCCTTGGAGAAAAACACAAAAAGGAGATTGAGTTTTATTTATTTCATTGATGAGTTACCTTCTAGTTGAAGCTCACAGGGCAACCCATCTAACCTGAAAAATAAAACCAATAACATCACTTAAAAACAAAACAAAATGAAATGAACAACCATTTTCATTCTCCAGGCACGCTATTATCATATCTAACATATGGCACAGCCCTGCTGGATCTAGAAGGCTGAGTCTCCATTTTCTGTCTCGCTTACTCCTTGGGTAACTGCCATCTACCATGGGAAGATACGAAACAGGAGCAGAGAATGTCTTTATTGCAAGAAGATAAACTTAAACTCCCGAAGAAATTAATTCAAATATTTGCAGAAATATTTAGGCAAGTCGGGTAGCACTGCCACATTCTTGATATTGCTTATTAGTTTGCTAAATAGCAATTCAGTACATTGTTATAAGCAGGGCAGGTTATGATGTGCAAGATGGATCTACATACCTGCCATGATGTCCTCCATGATTGTGATGACATAGGAAGGTTTGCTGAATGTGGGCGGGTTGTCATTTTCATCCTACAGAAATAAAAAGAAAGCAAGTCAAAACATTAATGTCCAATATAGCAGCAACACTCTATCATGAAACATGACTTAAACATTCAAAATATACTACAATCTGATTTACTGAAAGTTCAAAGCAAGGTCTTTCATGTAATTATTTTTAGCTTCATTTTTTGTCTTTAAATTTCATTGTTTTGTTTTTATTACAAACAATGACAAACTAGAACACTGAAATAAAATTTAGTTCTGACATAATTCTATAGTTCAAGTTCAAATACCAGTTGACCCTCGCAACTATGCTCAAAGCTGGTGGCAGGTGGTATAAAAATATTGTACTGCATTAGTTCTTGTGGAGACTGAGCTAGATGAAAGAAGCAGCTGGTTGGGTTCAGAACAATATTCCGCATTTCTAGTTCAAACTCCAGGTTCACCTCCACCCCTGTTTGCAAGAAGGGTCCAAAAGATGTCATTTCTAAATTTATTTCTGCAATGCAGCATGTCTTTTGAAGAATGTAATGTGAATGACATGGGTATTTTCTGGACAGCTGAAATTTGAGGATCAGTTCGGACCTCCTTGTTTCTTTTCAAAGAGGGAAAGTAAGATATAAAATAGCACAATGAGGTACCCCCTGAAGACTGAAGGCTAAATGAGACGTTATATTAATTGTGTAGTCTTGCAGTGATCCTAGCATACATGTTTTACTCTTGTGTAAGCATGTAGGGGCCAGTTCTGAATTGGCACTATTCATAAAAAGGTAGTGACAGATTTTATTTTCCTGGGCTCCAAGATCACCGCAGATGGGGACTGCAGCCAAGAAATTAAAAGATGCTTGCTCCTGGGGAGGAAAGACAGTCCCTCCAGCACTTCTTGTAAGCATCTTTATTCTACATAGAAACTATAAGCATTCACAAGCCTCCGAGCAGACACAAGAGATGTGCTGACCCCTCTCTGCCCGCTGACCCAAAGCTTTGCTCATGACCCCTCGGGGCCTGTCTCTGGGAGGAGGAGCGCTGTGGAACTGGACATGCCGATGTGCTGCACTCAGAGCCCCTCACTGGCCCAGCCTGCAGCTGTGACGACGGGCCCTCGGGTCCACGTCTTCAGGAGGCTGGTGCTCTCCATCCCAGAGGCTACCCATTTCCAAATCTCCTCCTCCCATCCTTTCGTCTGCTTCATTCCCACAGGCGGAAGGTAGACTGGACCTCATGGGTGTCCTTGGACTACAGGCTTGGACTGGCCCTGCAGGAGGGAGTCTGCAGGTGCAGGCCTGTCTGTCACAACAGCAATTCTGTTTGCAGAGCGTGAGCGCTGAGCCTGGTCTGGTTCAGCCAACTCCACCTCAGCCTCAGGGTCTGAGCTATCAGTCCCACCAAAACAGGCTGACTCTTTTGAGTGCCCAGGAATCTCACCAGAGCACGTTTGTACAACACGAGCTGTGCTGGCTGGGGCTCATGCGAGTTGTAGCTTTAAACCATCTGAAGGGCTACAAGTTGAACATGTAATCAGCAGTGGCCATCTAAAAAGTAATACTGCTTACAAAAGACTACAGGGTGACCCAAGATGGGTGCAATGGTCACTTCATAAATGTTTGCTAATGTAGGCTTGGTTGTCCAGGGCTATCAAAACATTCCTTTCCTTTTTTTAAAGGACAATCACCACCATGAATAGCTAGTGATAAAGATGATAAATTGTTTAATAGCCTCACAAATGTTTATTTTTTATATATAATATTGTTGGTGTATTATTAACATTGATCAGTTGGAATAACACTTTTAATATATATTAGATAGTAATCATACTAAGAAAAATTAGCTCACAAAATTTCAATTCACCTGTATTTTTAAGGAGTGTGCAGCTATGTAATTAGTTATATACATGTTCAGCCTTTGGATTTTTTTAATCAAAGAATTAAACTTCAGACTACTGATCATCCTACCCCCACAGGATATTAACAGTGTAGATATTAGCATCTCAAAAGTAAGTCCTGATTTGAAATTACTTATTTTTTATTATTACCATCATAGCCATTTTTTTCCTCTTGCAAGGAGCACAAGGAAGCCTTCATAGTCTTCTGCCTTTCCCTTACAAGACTCTGTGACGCAGGCTTGGCTGAGAGTCTGCGAGTGGCTGAAAGTCACACGTGGGCTTCACAGCTGAGAGGCAATGAGACCCCACATCTCCTGAGTTCCAGTCCAACACTAAATATTACACAACACTCTTCTACAGCCTCAAGAGTGTTCATTTGCATGCACAATGTTTAAAAACAAGGAATGCTTGTACCTGTCCCTTCATGTGTCAAAATGCCCCTAAGAAATGCATTCTTTCACATTATTCTGCACAGGATAATCTGTAGATGACCTAGGTGTCACTAGGTTGCTTTCATGGTCCTAGGCCCTCCTTTGAGTTAAGTGTGTTGTTTTTTTTTAAAAGACATGTCAGGCTGGACATCAGGAAAAGCTTCCTCATGGTCAGAGCAATACAGCAGTGGAACCAGCCGCCTGGAGAGGTGGAGGGCTCTCCCACACTAGAGACATTCAGGAAGAAACTGGGCAGCCACCTGAGTGGGATGGTGTAACTTGGTGTCCTGCAACAGCAGGAGGTTGGGCTCGATGTCCTTCATGGCCCCTTCCGACTCTTCTGCTCTATGATTCTAACCTCTATCTTTGCAGTTTGCTTCTTTTTGGCACAAAACCAGACCAGTTGAATGTACTGGAGAAACCATGAAAGTTAACATATGCAATTACTGGCAAATGTGTAGCCATTAAATAAGACAGAAAAAATATTCTTGTTCCATTCAACATAATATATGCAGTTATCAGTGCTTCTCACTGGTAAGCATAAGACTTTGAGACAAATTTTAAACTGTTTCAATGGAAAATTTTATGCAATTTGATACTCCAATTAAATCTTTAATTTTACTAAACAATGTCTCTCATTTCCAACAAACTGTTCCACAATAGAGAACATAAATTTTTGGGCTGTGTGTGAAAAAAATGGAAGTTAGCAGTAAAAAGAAGACGGAAACTAAATATTCTACAGAATACTAGGGCAGAACTTCTATTTTAAACCAGGCCTTTATACCACTATGGAACATGTAACGTTTGGGTAGAAGTGGCTTCCTACTCAGAGTGTCTTCAAAATTATTCTTTAGCTTTTAATACAGCAATTATTTTGCTTGCTTTTTTGTCCTATTTTCTACCCTGAACTTGTATGGAAATGGAAAAAGGCAAAATATTTTGTAATCATTAAAATTTCCCTTCCCATGTATTTGTCTCTAGAAGAAGACAGTTCTGTCTACTAAGCCTAACTATTGGCAATGAAATTAATATAATTAGAGAAAGAAAGACACAAATGGTACATAAAATGTCACGGCAATCTAGAGGCCTTATTATGATAAAAGAAACCAGCTTCCAAGTCCCTAAACATCCTAACTCTACCTCTAAAGGTAGTGTACTTTCACTTAGATTTTTGTTCTGAATAGTTATGCATGAAGAATTTGTGTATTTAAAGGCTTGCAAACCTTAAAAGCCCCATTTCCTTTGTCCTGGGAGAACAGCACTTTTAATGTCAATGATTTCCTTTTCAGTTCATTTGAAGCCAATATATAACATTTCTATTATATCAAAACACATCACACACAAAGAGCTTTATATTTAACTAGAGGCTTCTTGAATGCTCTTCAAGATAAAGGCCTGATTGAAAGGAGAAAAAATAGAAAGCCGAAAGTGAGGAACACTTGCAAAGCTGCAACAGAGGAAATGCTACCCTAGCCCTTAAACCTTGACGGATGCTTTTGCTATTAAAGTCAATATTTTAGGTAATTTCACATGCCAGTGATGCCCATCATACTATAATTAAATTGCCATCCTCTGCTATTTTTGCTTGGAGCAGGTGGTCTTTAATCAGCCTCTGCATCACTCATGATTCCTGCAATGCCCAGTACTGCACATTGCCCTCCCTACACTATAAAGTACATCCATAATGGGTAGTTACAACTGCATCAAGCTCACCCTTTGCTGGAACTAGGAGAAGAGGAGAAAACATGGATAATAGTGAAACTAAATTTAAACACTATCCTACTTCCTGTACCAGGAGGTTATTCCTGTTTACATCAACAGGTCAATTATCTGACAAAGCACTTGCTGGAGATGGCAATCTTGCCCACATTCTTTGTAGCCTCCTGTGTTGGACCAATTTGGTGTCCCTGCTAGCTAGGCGACCATAGACCCACCAAACCAGGCGTCAATGCGGTTCAGTCAGGCGGAGATTAGTTCAGTTTCTTTATTCAGCTGAGCAAAGCAACCAGGTGTCTGCTCCCTACACACAGGCAGGAAGCGACACACCTCAATCCTCTCACCAACCCTTCTTATACTTTCCCTTCTTCCTTCCTCTCTAGCCATTCAATCTCACCCCGTTGTTCCTTCACCCAATCCCCTTGCGGGGTCTGCATGGCCGCTGCATGCCCTGACCTCGTGCAGGGGCTTATCCAGGTCCAATCCCCTCACAGGGGGAGCGCCAGACCTCGTGTAGGGGGCCTTTTTTAACAACTGCTTCCTCATCTCCTTTTATCAACATTCTTTTTCCTTCTCTTTTCCTCTCTGATGCAAGCAGTTTTACAAAAGCAAATGGCTTTAGTTAAGCTAATCAGGCTCCTTCACCTAGCTGAGAAGTGGAGCCAAACAGATGGATGCGGATTCCTGCAAGCACACATTCCAGGCTCCCTTTCATATCTATCCCAACGCACTCCTGAAGGTAACCTATGGCGTGTGAAGGGCTGCACTCCAGAGTGAACATTAGGAAAGAGCTCATGCACACAGTGAAGCACTTGCAGCACATGCTTCATTGTATGAACACTTCCTTTCGGTTTGCAGTCATCCATGCTTGTGCAGTTTGCAATTCCAAATTCAAACGAAAGTGTGTTTTCTCAAGAAATAGCCATGCATTTCCACATTTGCAATTGTACTTTTAAAACTGCATTTTCAAAAACAGAGACCACTTTGACATGCTGTTTTTT